GGTCTGCAAGCACATAAAGGGTGAGGCTGTTTCCATGTGCACACTGCAGATTCTGCATGCAGTCTCTCAACGTGTGTTGGCTTTCCTGGATAATCTGGCTCATTACATATAGTAGTCCAAAAAATTAATCTCCACTAGGAAATAATTTGTTTTCCAGATCTTCTGAAGTGTATCTTGTCTAGCAGAATTCAATGGGTACTTAGGTCATGCATTTTGCTTTCAGAATCAGCACTGCTGATTCTGATGCAAGAAGGCATAAAAGGAGAGTCCTGGCCTTGTAGAGATGGGGCCGAGCTCCCTCAAGCTGTGTCTGTTCTCCTCCTCCTCCATGGAGTGATGCTGTCGTGGAAAATAAATAACAGCATACATAGTGTGCTGTGTCACTATGTATAACCTGATGAGGATGCCTCCTTTCTGCTGGTTGCGGCACCTCTTGTTGCATTCACCAGCGTGGGGCTTTCTCTCTGTCAGCATGTGAGATTCTCTGGGTAAGATCTGACGGTACATGGCACAGCTGAGTCTCTCATATAAAAGCTGCTGGGAGCAGTAGGTTCTGGTTTCGCCCTCTGAGGTCTTTTCTGAGCACCAGGAAACCCTCAGTTTACCATTCAAAGGGTGTATTAAAATTATGCGCAGCCTCAGCTGCCTTTATGCCTTGTCAGATGCTTTAACAATTCTTGCTGCTTCTTTCTCTCTTAGCTTCGAGAAGCTGCCTGCTGTGCTGAGCAAAATTCAGTTCTGCTGGCACAGATCTCATGGCAGTGCAGGGTGTTTCCTCACAGCTGTGGCAGCCATCTCAATGGATGCATTGCAGAGCCCCAGGCCAGCAGTCAGTCTCCCTGTGCCTGGAGAAGCAACGGTGCTGCAGGTTTTTGGATGCCTGCAAACCAGGGCACAGCACCAGTAGTGCAGGTGGGCTGTGCTCACACCCCGCTGCTCCAGGTATCCGCTGCCTCTTCCAGGCTGCCCTTTTGTGGAGCTGGGAGGTGTAGCTGTGAGCAGGATGTGACTCAGGGGTGCTTGGAGCAGGCGGGGCCCTGTGCAGGCAGGATCCAGCTGGCGAAATGGCTGGCACCCTCTTGGCTCCCCCAGCTCTCACCTGAAGGCAGATCCAGCAGCAGCACGGATGCTGGACTGCTGGCCCAGGCCTGCAGCTCACAAGTTTGGGAGCATGGGGGCAAGAGCCATCCCCACATGGCCCAGAGGTGGTGTAGGGGAAGGGGATGGCTCTCAGTCCACAGCCTCGTGCAGGGGCCAGCGCTGCTCCCCTGAGTGAGCAGCTGGTTTCCCTTTTAGGGTTGGACGAGAGGCAGAAACAATGTCACACGGATTCCAGCACCTATAATGGTTCTGGAAAGCCAAGGGGAACAAAGAGCGTTCTCCTCTGTTGACCTCAAAGCATGCTGAAGACCATCTTCCAAAGCTGCCTCGCCAGGAGGTTTCATCCTTACATGGGAGCCCGTCCTGCAGTGCTGCTCTGTGCCCACCGCGTGCCTGTAGGTGTGAAGTGCGAGCGCCAGGGCGAGGAGAGGCAGGAACCCAACGCATAAAGGCAGCTCTATTCCTGTGTCCTGGGAAGATTAAGTGTTTCCCTGGGAATAGCCTTGTTGGATTGCCTGGTGGAGCAGCTGGTTGTGACCTGACAATGAGCAACAAACGCATATGGAGTTACACAGGACTGCAGGTTCACTGTGTGTGTGAGAGACCTCGTGTAGCCCGAATTGCATCCAAAAGTGATTAAACTCTCAAGTGATTGCATGCAGCAGAAAGTCTGGCCCCGGACCTATTCTTTGCATAACAGTTCAAGACACTGTAATGAATGTAACGATCTCCTGGGGTTGTTGCTAAGCCCTCTGAGGTGTTGCTGTGCACAGTGACACCGGCGTGGTGTTATGTGCCTGGTACTCTCTAATTAGAAAGCAGCCTCTGCTGTGCGTCCTTGGCGAACCGCTGACCTTTCCCATACGTGCAGCTATTCTGAGCTCTGTTCCAGACTGATCAGGTTTGCATCCCGGAACACTTTAAATATTGTTTGCAAGGGGAGCTCTTGTTGCCAAAGCTGTTTGTTCTTGGGCGCAGGCGAGAAACTGAGCTTCCTTTCTTCCATGAGCACTGCTCTGTCAGGCAGAAGGATTGGGTGGGCAGCTGGCAGGCAGGGAGCTGCTGTTATTTCTGCCCTCGGACAGCTGCAAGAGTGCCCCAGGTCTGGCAGCCTTCGTCCTGACATGGGTGAGTGGGTGAATGCTCTTTGCAACTGGAATCCTATCAGGTTGGGGCAACACCTTGGCTGTTTGGAGGCGTTGCTGACACCAGCCTAGATCACAACTGGTGTTTACAGGGTGGTGCAGAGTGCAGAGTATCAGCACATGCTGATTAGCATGCATGATGACTACCCAAAAGTCAGTTTAAAGGGTCCTGAAGCCAGGACATATTTTTAATACGTTTTCAAACTCCACTTCTTGTCTTCACGAATTGATCCCAGATCCTCATTGCAATCACAGTAAGAATTGGGTACTTTTGACCTATTCCTTCGCTGTATTTCTTTTGTCTCCCCTTTCTCTGAGCTGTGACCTTGGTGCCACATCCGTGGGTGAAGATGTGGAGTTTGCTGTGGTGTTGTGCAGGGTTTGTCACTGCTGCACGACCAGAACAAAGAGAGCAAACAGATCACTTCCCTGCAGCTTATCTAAGTCAAATAACTCTGAGTAAACTTCCTGGGCCTGGGTTTTATTCTCTGCAAAAGGCAGCAGAGCAGTTGCTCTCGCAGCAACCTCAGCCATGTGATGCTTGGCTCTGCTGACCCCACACCCCCCAGCTAGGACCAACGGAAGCAGACTACATCTGGGGAGAATCTGCTGAAAGCAGAACTGCCCCAGGGAAGCAGCGCTTTGCTTCCAGTGCACCCAGTTCTCCCAGTCTTCAGTTTGAGGGCTTTGGCACACCAGCACAGTTCCAGCCCCTTGTGAGCAGGGTGGGTATTGTACTGGCACGGTACAATTTGGGGCATTGCTTTTGAGCAGAACTTGGAATATCATTTTCAGAGGGTTTCTATGGGTTTTGTTCCCTGTTCCATGCACTCCTGCAGCACCACCCACCTCACTGTCCTTAGCAAAATGCTGTGACTTGCTTTGTAGCTGGGGACAAGGAGGGACAGCCTCCAGGCTGGGGTCAGCAGCGCTCAGGGGCTGAGTGCATCTCGCCAGCAGAAGCCAAGGCTTCTCCCATCGTGCTTTTTTTCCCGTCTCTCGTGTTTCCTGATGTTCTCTGACCCCATATTTTAGGACCACAGAGATAGCACAGCCCATTGAGCAAACACAGTAGCTCCAAGCCCTGGCGGTATCGTGGTTCGAGGCCCTTTTATTACAGACACACCTTGGAAAGTTCTGTACAGCAGGGCTGGGAGGGGAAGAGTGGTAATTTCGTTTTCTGTCTTCACCAGAGGGAAAGGTCCCAGGTAGCTGCGGCAGTTGAAGGCAAGCAGGGTGGCAGGGGGGAGCGCTGGGGGTGCGGGAGCTGCTCCTTGTGTGGGCATCACAAAGAGAAGGCGCTTGGGGACAGAGCTGTGGCAGCAAGGGGAGCACTGGCACAAGCACCCACTTGGCTCTTTTGAACAAAGCTCCATCCCAGTGGCAAGCTGGGAGCTGTGAGGCAGAGCAATGGCCCTGAGCTGCTGGTGGGGATGAAGCCATCCCCCCGGGGCAGGCGGCAGTTGGGTAATGAGCATCTGAGTGGGGACTTTTTTCCCCATCCGCTGGTCACGTAGCCATGTGGGAACGCTGGATTTATTCCCCAGCAGTGCTATCAGCACATACCAGGCTTCACAACAGCTGGGAGCCATGGAGCTTGACCAAGAATAGCACTGGGGAACTCACTGCCTGACTCAGAGCTGTCTGGAGCAGATCCTGCCTTGCACCAGTGGATTGTTGCTGCCCCAGGGGGGAAATTTGGGGCAGCAGGCACAAAGTGGGGGGCTGCCAGTCCCCATGGGCACTGGGTTGGGGATGGAGCTGTGTGGCTCCTCCTGGGGCAAGTGGGATCCTGGAGGGAGCTGCAGTGCATGGCTGTGTCGTGACTGCTCAGATGTAATTCCATGGGCTTGTCTGCACTTGACAGCAAGCTGGTATTACAGAAGGGTGTGAATTTGCAAGCGGAGAATTCCATATTTAGGAATAACCAGGTTCAACCAAACAGCAGGAAGATACTCTCATTCTGGAATTAATGTTCCAAAGAAAGCACCTGAATTCTGCATCCTGCCTGCCTGCAGGAAGACGGGGCAAGGAGCGATGTCAGATCTGCATGCAAACCCCAAAACACCTCTCTTGTTTGTAAAATACATGCCCTCCCCCCTGCTTGCTCCCTGAAAAGAATTTGTAGCTGGAGCAAAAACATATGCGTGGAGCAACACGTGCAAGGAGGGTTGGTGGGATATGACTGCAGCCGGGTGCAGCGCGAGGTGCCCGATTCCAGCTCCCCTGCTGAGCAGCTGCTTTAAAGTCCTGGAGCTGTTCCAGCTCTGAATGCTGCAGCTCGATGGGGCAGCAGCAGCCCGGGGCCATGTGCAGGGGCCCTGCCCTTAGGGGGCTGATTAGGGATCTCTGAAGGAGGCTCATGGTGGCTGTCCCTGCTGGTGTCTGGCTACGGTATAGCAGTAGGTGCACGCACACAGGGCTTGTGGGCCTGCTCTGGGTGCTAAGTCAAAACTTCCCGTGTGGAAAAACATTCTTTTTTGATCCTCATTTACCCTTTGTTTCCCAGCAAGGAGCCAAACAGTGCAGAGCTCCCTGTGCATGCATCTGTATTTCTCTGAGCGTCTGCGTGCTCGTGTGGTTGGATCCATCCCAGCTGTCTGCGGATTTGGGGAGGGTGTTCAGGTGCAGGAGCTCAGTTCCCATTCTTTGGGGAACTCTCCCATGTCCTTGTGTCCCGGGGACACGGAGCACTGCAGGCACATCCCAGGCAGTGCAAAGCAACTCTGAGTGAGCGCCCTGCTGCTCTCTTAGCAGGTGAAGGTGGCCCTCAGACCGGCACCATGACCGAGTGCTTCGACTGCGACAACTGCAAGGAGTCCTTGTACGGGCGCAAGTACATCCAGATGGACAATGGCCCCTACTGCATCCCCTGCTACGATGCCCACTTTGCCAATACATGTGATGAGTGCAAGGAGCTGATCGGCCACGACTGCAGGGTGAGTATGGGAACGTGCCGGGCAGTGCAGTCCATAGGTTCCCATCCCCATCTCATCCTGCTGTCCTCCCCAGGAGCTGTACTATGAGGATCGCCACTACCACGAGCACTGCTTCCGCTGCTTCCGCTGTGACCGCTCGCTGGCTGACGAACCCTTCACCTGCCAGGACGAGGAGCTGCTGTGCAATGACTGCTACTGCAATGAGTTCTCCTCCAAGTGCATCGCCTGTGAGAAGACAGTCATGCCAGGTGGGAGCTGGTGGGCACTGTGGTTTGCTTCCAGTCCCACTGCATGGAGCTACAGGGTCCAGTGCCAGGGCAGCAAGCGAGAGCTGAATTTCTGCCCTCCCGCTGCTCCTTCACTGCACGGTGTGGGCTGGGCACAGTCTGGTGAGACAGCAGGCTGTGATGAGCACAGCCCTGACTGTGTCTGTTTCCCTTTCTTGTGGGGAAGTGAGCTGAGGAGGAGAAAACAAAGGGTTTCCTGGGCATTTTCTGGTATGTGCTGACAAAAAGAGAAGGAGTGGTTGAAGGCATGTGAGTGGCTCTGGAGATAGCCTGAGGCAAAGGAGTGCCTTTGCTTGGCCATTCTGGCATTCTGCAGATAAGGGTTACAACAGACTGCCCTGCAGGGGCCATATTGATGCCAGAGAAGTGTTGCTACAGCCCCCACTCGTGGCTGCTGCTGCTCCTGGGGCTCTCCCCCAGCTGCCCACACGGCCCCACTCACACACCACTCTGTTGTGGTGGGCAGGAGCCTGCATTGCCCTGCACAATCTCCGTGTCCTGTGTGAGCATACGTGCTCCCCATTGCCCCTCTGAGCACAGCTCTTCTTGCAGGATCCCGCAAGCTGGAGTACAATGGACAAACCTGGCACGAGCACTGTTTCATATGCAGCAGCTGCCAGCAGCCCATCGGGTCACGATCCTTCATCCCAGACAAGAAGGATTATTACTGTGTCCCCTGTTACGAGAGCAAGTTTGCTCCTCGCTGCACTCGCTGCAAAAAGGTATGTCTACCATGGCAGGCTGAGCCAAGGTCCTGTGCTGGGGGGTCGTGCTTCCAAAGCAGGGGGATCTGTTGGCTCAGGAGAGGACAGGGTGCCCCTGCACAACCCAGCCCTGCCACAGTCAGTGGCTGCTCTGCTCTAGCAGTGCTAGGGATGAGCAGACTGTGTACCAGCTCTTTCCACACCCCGTCAGAGAATGATTCGGGTGCCAGCACCCTGGCTGATGGCTGCTCAGGTGTGGCACTGCCCCTGTGTCACACGTGTGCTCTCTCTTCCCACAGACCCTGACCAAGGGAGGAGTGACCTACCGGGACGAGCCGTGGCACAAGGAGTGTTTTGTCTGCACAGGCTGCATGACCCCCCTGGCTGGCCAGCAGTTCACCTCCCAGGATGACAACCCCTACTGCATCAAGTGCTTTGGGAACCTCTATGCCAAGAAGTGCAGTGCCTGCACAAAGCCCATCACAGGTGAGCGGGACAGCCCTAGGGACAGTGCGCTTCCTCCTGGCAGGCCGTGGTTTGGAGATGAACCAAGACCTCTGGCTGCGCAAACAGCTTGTCCAAATGGCTCCCGAGGGTTTTAATGCTGTACTCTGTCCCTCCCACAGGCTTCGGTGGTGGTAAATATATCTCCTTTGAGGATCGTCACTGGCACCATAACTGCTTTAACTGTGCCCGCTGTGACACCTCGCTGGTCGGGAAAGGCTTTATCCCTGACAATGATGAGATCCTGTGCCGTGACTGCAGCAACGACCTATGAGCCTTGGAGGACACTGTGGGGCAGGGGCTTTCTCTATTCTTCACAGTCTTTGTGCCAGTTAGCCCTGACAGCATTGCAGGGGCAGGGCACAAAGCATAGGAGATGAGGGCTGACCCCTAACCACTGTGTGTTCAGGAGGTTCCCGTGCCCCTCCTTGAAGGCTAGAGTATGCTACACTGTGGCTCTGTGCAGAGCCAAAGCTAAATAAAGTTGAAAAGGAGCTTCAAGATCCCCATTATTTACTCTTTCCTTTTGCTTACTGTCTGACTGGGCATGAGCTGAGCAAAGGGCAGCAGCAGCAGCTTCAGTGCAGGGCTGCTGGGTCTGCACGCTGGTAGCACGCATTCGCTCCCCTGGGCACGGTGCTCATCCTTCTTCTTTTTTCCCTGCTCTGCGTGCTGCAGGGCAGCAACTCCTGCTCTGGTCTTGGCGGTGTTCACGGTGGATGGCTTTGCAGCCCAGCATTGCACAACCTGTGCATGTGGGGCTCTCTGCTCTATTCGGGAGGCTTGGGGACACCGGGCTGGAGCGGGAGCACGTGTCACCACCATGGGATTCCTGCAGCCACTCTGCCACCTATGTGCTGCACCCTTTGCTCAGCGTGGCTCTGCGACAGAGCTCAGGCACTTGCAGGGCTGTAGCGCTGCCCCAGAAAACCCCTGCCTGTCCTTAACTGTTAACAACGAGGTCTAAAGGCTCACACGAGCCTTGCCCGGTGGCTTGGCTGGCCCTGCCCCCCCAGAGCTCCTCTGCAGAGGGAGCTTGTGCTTCTGCCTAGTCTGCATCCCCCTTGCTTCGCCCTGCATGGGGCCCTTCCCCCAGCCCTGCTTTCCTGCTTAACCCGTGCTTCTCTGAAGGCATCTTCTTGTGATGTTTATTCATTTTTGGTTTTGTTTTTTTTTCTTTTCCTTTTTTTGTATTCTTTTGTCATGATTATCTGTTATTGTGTAACCAGCTGTGGGATGAAGGGACTCTCCTGCCTGCCCAGGATTCAGTAGGAGCAGAAAAAATTATGCATGTTGAAGTGTTATTAACTCTGTATTCAGGTCCTGCTTGAACCCTCGTTTGAAAGCTTTGATGCAGGCAAATCAGAGTTTGTGTGTTTGCTATTCTGAGGCGCTTGGAGCAGTCTCTAGAAGGAAGTGTCCTGAATGTCAGCCCCTTGTATGTTTCCTAAGGCTTTATATAATAAACCGTTTTAGTGACACTCGTTCCCGTGTGTTTCTCAAGCAGCAGGCACAGGGCAGTACTGCAGTTCCATGCTCAGCCCTGTCCCCATTTCTATCCCCATATAGGAGTGGGGCTGATCCCCACCACGCTCCTTCCTCCTCTTTCCCAACCCCACCAGCTGTACAGGCTGAGGGCAGGGGAATGGCAGCTCCGTCTCCCTACAGCGGCTGCCTGTCTGTCCATGCCCACTGTCAGTCTGCAGCACCAGAGCAGTGATGCTTTCTGGCTGATCACAGCCCTGCCACAGCTCTGGGTACTGCCTCGCACCCCACTGCACACAGCAGCTTCCCCATGCTGCGCCCCACGCTCTGAGCTGTGGGGAGCTTTGCTGGGGATGTGGCTGCAGGCTCCTCCTGGCAGCCTGCCCCGCAGCACTGAGTGCTTGTTACTCACTTTTATCAGCTGGGGAGCCAGTTGTTCCCCTAACATCTGAAACTGTTTTCCGCAGATTCCTTTACATTTACTAACAGCTGCCACGGCTTCCTGCAGGCTCGCCGGCCCCCGCACCCCACGGGTGCTGCTGCAGCAGGACCACGATGCTGGCTCTGCGCCTGCACACTCCTGGATCAGCTCCTGCAAAAACTATGGTTTTGTTGCTTTTTTTTTTTTTTCTTTTCTTTTTTCATGTAAGACTTTTGCTTCTTGTGACCTGTGCCAGGCTCTGGTTTTGCTGCTGTTTGGCCTCAAACAAGGAGCGAGCAGCTCAGGCCCTGGAGGTTTCTGGCTGAGCCTGTCCTGCAGCAGCAGCACCACCAGCCCTTGTTTCTGCAGCGCTGTTTCCAGGGATTAACCACAAAAGGTTTCTGTACAAAGGGCCCCCGGGCTCCTCTTTTGCTCAGCCTCAAGAGCCTCACGTTTTTAGCCAAAAAAGGAAATGACCCAGCTGCACGTAGCGCTGGAACATCTGGATTTTATCCCTGTCATGAATGGGTCATGGCTGCGCGCGGCCCCGTGCCTGATTTACGGGAGGGGGAGGGTGATGTCATGCACAAACCTCCCCTGGGCTCCCGGAGCACGGTCTGAAGCAGGCACGGAAATACTCCTCAGCACGCAGCCTGGGCCCTCACTGGGAGCCCAGCATTAACCAGACACTGAGCTCAGCTCTCCTGGGGAAAAGTCAGCCCACAGGGGGACACGGTGGCTCCTGCCACATGCTTTTTGGGCTCGCTGTGGGCACCCCACTCTGCCCTGTGGATGAGGGCTCTCTCTCCTTCCAGGCAGACTTTTCAGCTCCCTGCTGGCGGTCACCCATTTCTCAGCTGCATGCTTGTACATGCAGCATTGGGTCATGGCTCCAGCATAGCCTCTCCTGAGCTCCTTAACCCAGCATGGACCTGTCCCAGCCGCTCCTGCAGCCCTGCAGGGATGGGTCTGGAGGCCAGGTGCTGCTGGAGGCCGAGACTTGATCCTATGTGTGGTAACAAGCCCAGGACCACTACTGTCCATTCTGCCTGGGGTAATGGGGAACCTGAGTTGAAGGAGAACTTTCTCCTTTGCCTCCGTTGCATAAGGTTAGGAAGGTGGCTGAGCCCTGCAGGCATCCTGCACGCTCCTCCTGGTGCAATCCCTTCTTCCAGGCCCCCAGCAAAGGTCCAGGAAGGTGGGAAGAACTTGCAGAGCCACCTTTATTCCCGTTGTCCCACCTCTCCTGGTGGGAAAACTGTCCCCCATCTGCCCCAAGCGCTATGGCTGCTCCCACATTGCCTTCCCAGCCCTGCACAGCTCAGCCCACAGCCTGCCTCCTCCCATGGTGCTGCTGATGGGCAGAGGAGGAAGAAGAGCAGCATCAGGCTCCCGGTGCACCAAGCCCACATGGCTGGGGGTCCCCACTGGGTTTCAGCTCCTTACCTTACTGGGGATGAAGTTTCACGTGAAAGGAAAGAGAAAAATGAAAAACCAAGTCCAAAATCTTATCTCCGCTTGTATTTTTAGATGGGCATTCATGAGAAGAAGTGACACATTTTGGGGAAGACTTTATTCCAAGAGTAATTAAATACAACGCTCCTATCATCAGTATCATCCCCTCAGTGCAATGAATGTTCCCAGGGCAGGATCATCTTTGTCTGCCATAATGAAGCCAAGTTTTTTTGTTGTTATAGTTAAATAAATTTAACATGCATTGTAGGGGAAAAAAATATTTATGAGTTTAAATTTAATTATAGTTTTGCATCTGGCAAAGTGGAGGCAAAGCACTGACACGCTCCTCAGCATTTAGAGTAGATCTGAAGATGGTAATTAAAATCCAAGAAGAAGTGGAAGGCCACAACCGTGACCTCTTCAGGATGACATCCTCCAGAGCCGCATCCTTCGAGCCTTGATGCCCAAAGCCCACAAAGCACTCCTGTTTTCTCAGGAGCAACGGCTGTGACCCAAGGCAGGCGGAAAGAAGGCAGCACCGGGCTGGACACGTTTTGTTCTGCTGGGTCTGTTCCTGTTCGGGCTGTGATTCACAGCTGTGTAACGCTGCCCACAGCCACCCTCAGGCTGGAGGTTTTCATCCCAGCCCCGGGGGCGCCTGCAGTGCTCGCTGATCCCCGGGGTGGGCAGGAGCAGAGCTGCAGGGTGCTCAAAGCGGTTCTGTGGGGGAGAAGGGGGGGGGAACTCAAGCTGTGGCTTTTCTAATCGCTGTGACAAAGGGCAACGTGTGAACGTGGGCTCTGATTGACCCTGCTGGGCGGGCAGCCCTGGTTAGAGGGAGACCGTGCGCTGCCTGTTTGTGTGGGGACACGGGTGTGTTCGGGAGCAGCTGTGCCCTATCGGGGGTTGGCGCCGACACCCGCGCTGATCTCCTGGAGGCCCAGAGGCTGTTCAGGCTGCGAGCTCCTCTCCTTTCAGTGCACACTGGGACAAAGCCGCCATGCTGGCAGCGTTTGGGACAGGACTTGCGGGCGTTCAGCCCTCCTCTCCCACCATCCGATACCGGAGCGGCTTCCCACCGCTCCACACCGCCTCGAGGCTGCACGAGATGTGGGCGAGCGGCTTCATAGCTCTGCCTCCCCCTCTTCGCAGCGGCGATAATCACCGCGGTCCCACGTTCAGGCCGGATCCTTCCGGCAAGGATCAGGGCGGGGCCGGACCCTTCCGGTAGCGCACAGGCTGCGCCGGAAGTAGCGCGCTTCGACTTCCGGGCGGGACGTGAGAGGATGGAGACGATCCTGGAGCAGCAGCGACGTTATCATGAGGAGCGGGAGCGGCTGATGGACGTCATGGTGAAGGAGATGCTCACCAAGAAGTCCACGGTGCGCCCGGGGAAGGGCGGGGGATCCGGTGGGGTCGTGTGGGGGATGGGCCGGGCCCAGGCCCTCGCTGACGCCGTTCCATTCCCTGCAGCTCCGCGATCAGATCAACTCCGACCACCGGACGCGGGCCATGCAGGACGTGAGTCGGGCGGGGTGGGCCGCTGCGGCCCCGGGATCCGTACGGAACGGCCCGAGAGGCTGCCGAGCTGCTGGGCCGGGCCCGGCTGAGGTTCGCGGTGGCAGCGCGGGGTTTGTGTTGTGTTTTAGAGGTACATGGAAGTGAGCGGCAACCTGAGGGACCTGTATGACGACAAGGACGGGTGAGTGTGCGGCCTGCTGGCTCGCGGATAGAGGACCTGGGGCTCCTCTGGGTCTGCTGTAAACACTGAGCAATTCTATGACTTTATGACTGCACGACGCTGCAGTCGAGGCTGGGGGTCAGCCCCAAACCTGCTGGAGGAGGACCCAGGCTTTACATTAAAAAGTGTTTGTGCGCAACGCAAACATTTCATTGTTTTCTTGGATTGAATCATTGAGGGAGACTTGAGTGTTTGTAACTGAGACTGCAGCATTTTCAGTAGAGATGTGACCCAGATCTGCAGAGCATGGGCCTGACTGCCTGTGGAACATCACTGGGGCTTTGTGGGGCTGTGCTGTCAGTCTCACTGGTGTTTTGTGGGAGCAGAATTCAGCGTTACACTTCCAAAAAGATTATGTCAGCATAAGCATGTTTTGTTTGTTTGTTTGCAATCTGTCTTCTTCTCATGCACCTGCAGCTTACGGAAGGAAGAGCTCAGCGCCATTTCAGGGCCAAATGAATTTGCAGAATTCTACAACAGGCTGAAACAAATTAAAGAGTTTCACCGGAAGCATCCCAATGAGGTGAGTAATTCCCTGCTTCGTGAGAATGACTGACTTGTGGTGTGTTGGGCTTCACCTCTGCTGTGTTAAAATGTCACTCAGGAAAACAAAGCGTTCAAGAGTAGGCGGTGCTTTAAGGCTTTATATAAGGCTCTGTCTGAGTAGGAGAAAATGCAGGATGCTCACCATGTCCTCCACACACTCTATTAGTTTAAGAACATTCTGCTTCTGAGCTGGTATTCGTTCTTGCTTGCATAACTGGCAGAGTCACTGGGTTGTACTTTTTTTCCTTAGTGCAGATGTGATCATGAAGAAGTGCTTTGAACACCTGTTCAGTTACCAGTTTTACTGTTTGCAGTATGATTTACTCCAGCATTAGCTGAACTGATCACTTTTTTCTGTAACTTCTGTCTGTTCTTGAAGATTTGTGTTCCCATGTCAGTGGAGTTTGAGGAACTGTTGAAGGCCAGAGACAACCCAAGTGAAGAAGCTCAAAGTAAGTCTTTAGGGTTGTATTTGTTTCTTTTCTGGGGCCAGTTGAAGTGAGAATACATTGCTTGCTGCGATTTAGTGACCTGTCTGATCTGGTTTGCATAGAGTCCCACCTCCCTTTTCCTGCATTAACCGTGACAAATGTTCTTATTTCATTTACATTCTTCTGAGCTGCAGAAATATTCACAGTTGTGATGATTCTTTTGAGGAATGTTCTGATGCAACACAAGGAAGCTGGCAGACATCCAGTCAACGAGGATCCATGTGCATTATAAACATGCTTAAGAAAGACAAATTGGCCTGCAGTTCATTATTTTCAGATTCTGAAGCGTGCATTTAATAAGCAGAGAATGTGAGGTTGGTGACAAAGCTCTCCATGCTCTTT